TGCTTTATTTTTGAACCAATTGTTAAAGAAAAGACAATATTTAAATAATTGAATATTAGATTATTGTTTAAAAATGATGTAATTTATATTAGAGACGAATTTGGGTTATTTTAATGTTTTTTAAATGGAATTAGAATAAACATAAAAATAAACATAATATATATTTGTCTTGATCACAGTATATATTTTTATTATCCGACTTTTACTAATCTATTATCTTATTTATGTTGTTTTATATTATTTTATACATGACGTTTTAGCATAATTCTACTATGTGAATAAATAATACTGTATATATCAGTAATTTAAAATCACTCCTGCTAGACTCATCAAGGTCATAATTGCACAATATTAATACCTGTCTAAAACATTAAGCTATTAATGCCTAATTTAATGAGTTTTTTAAATCCCATATATTCATTGTATCTAAATAATGTAACATACCTTATGTTGCATAGTATTCATGTTATTTCGAGCACTTACAGAACCTTAGAGAATGTTAGTGCAATGAAATATAATTAAATGTCTTGGATTATGTGCACTTAAGATTGTATAAAAACACATAAATGTCATAAACGTGTAAAATTATTACAATACTAATCACATAGTTATATAATATTGGGGTTCGCACCGAACCCACATCTCGTTGAACAGGCTGAAACCGGTTTTTAATCATACAAAATATGCTGAACCTAGCTATTATAAACCCTGTACACTAGCTCTCTGAGCACATTGTATTGATTATACGATAATGTATAATAGACTAAGTTTATTATATAACTTAATGTATAACTCCTTAAGCACGTGCGGTTAGTGAATTTTGCACTGTGCATAATGTACCATGTTTGAAATGTTTTTTAAATATAAATAGATGCAGTAACTGGTAAGTTTTTAGATACATTTATTAAGCTGGTTTATTTTATAAATATGTTTAAAATAAATGTATCATCGTTAGTTATTACTGTATTGTTTAATGTTTGCATTAATTTTATATTATGTATTGATGTGAAGACAACATCGGGTGTAGTGAGGGGTCAGACGATAGATGTGTTGAACGTAAGTATTGACCAGTTTTTGGGTATACCTTATGCCGAACCACCCGTCGGGAGACTCCGGTTCGCCAAACCTGAACCCATCAAAACACCCAAACCGGTAAACATTTTTATAATAGTTACGATTATTAAACTAGTATAATTTACCTTATTTAATTATATTGTTATGTGAGATTTTTATTAGACAATAAACTAATAAATAGTGCAAATATTTATGATTTTATTTATGAAAATGCTGGTTTTTAATGGCAAAATAGTTATATATTTTTATTATGTATAATATAATTTTAATTAATTATTCAATACTGTACAATGATTTATGATGATTAGTTTACTAAAAATAGCTTTTATTATGAGGGTTTATTTATGGTATGATAGTTTGCACATGTTTGCAGATCAATTATATAACCATTATAAAATTTATATAACGCTTGAAGTCTATTAAATGATTGCATTTTATTCATAAACAATACCTCTAATGTCAATCACATTAGACGCTAATAACATATAATTATATTGTATTTTGTGTACCATGGAAAAAGTCTGCTTATTATTTCCACGTGCAGTCAAATAAAACATAAACGTCCTTGATCGCACCTGATGTATTAATGTTTTTTAATGTATAAATACAATCTTAATGTATATTATTAAATGGATAGTACAAAATTCAGCCAATATCTGTGTTAAATTGCATGTTGGTTTATTATTTATTTAAATTAACGCGCGTGACATTAATTAGACAGTAATAATCTAAAAATTATTACAATAATTACAAAATAATAAATGTATTAAATATAAATATGCGGGCTTGATAAATAATTTGTTCAATAGAAATTTTAATCAATTATAAAGTTATGTGTAATTAATAATTATTATGAAGTTATTTGTGAAATATTGTTTAACTCTATGTTTATTACAATGTGTTGAATGTCAATACTGGCCAACAAACGGGCCTATTGTGAGCACCCGTACGAGTACAGTGAGGGGTAAGACTGTACGTGTGCTAAACAAACATATCGATCAGTTTCTGAACATACCCTACGCCGAGCCACCAGTCGGTCCCCTCCGGTTCAGTAATTCAAAGCCACTTAAAACACATAATAAAGTAAAGTTTACTTATTATTTAAGTTAATAATTATAGCAACAAATAGTTATATAACTAAACTAATAATAAAATAAAATTTAATTACACACATGATCAATTATAACTATAGCCATTCATCGATGGTCGAGTGCCGGGCAAATCATGTGTGCAAAAATATGTGCCACAATTCTTCTTCGACAAGGTTGGAAATATCACCCAAAGCGAGGACTGTCTGGTGTTAAACGTGTGGACCCCTACTGTCCGCACCGGTGACCAACTGAAAGCGGCCCTAAAACCGGTAATGTTTTGGATATACGGCGGTGCGTTGTTTGTTGGGTCCATATTTCAACAGCAATACAACGCTAGTCTATTGGCAGCGCAAGATGTGGTGGTTGTGTCCGTTAACTATAGGTTAGGACCGTTTGGTTGACTATACGGGGATCGGGAGGACGCGCCCGGAAATGTTGGCTTTTATGACCAGTTATTGGCTCTCAAATGGGTATCAATTAATTGTTTATTTTAGTTATTATTGAGATTTATTAATAAAATAATATATTAATTAATGACATAATAATAGGTTAGGGAAAACATCCACTCATTTGGCGGAGATAAGGATCAGATCACTATATTTGGTGAGAGCGCCGGCAGTTGGTCGGGATCGGCGCATATCATATCGCCCTCAAGTAAAGGTCTATTTAAACGGGTTATTATGCAAAGCGGTGCCCATTATTACAACCCGGATAGGGATCCGGTCAACACAACTGAAGCCCTATTTATGGCCAAACAATTTGCCAAAAGCATGAACTGTACGGACGAACAGAAATGGTTGGACTGTTTGCGTGGTATCGACGCCCAGGCGTTGATCAAAGGGTTTGATACAAATGTTCAGATATTCCCGATTCTGGGCACAGAATTTTTGCCAATGAGTGCTCAGCAGGCGTTTAAACAAATGTCGTTTAATAAAGGTAAAATATATTAATTTAGCAACAATTTAGCTTGATAAAATTGAGGGGATTGCTTAATCTAGTTAATAATAGATAATAAGTTTATCATTGATATAATTATTGTAATGATTACTAGTATTGTCACAAACATATAGACCTGGATATCATGGCCGGTGTTGAACGCAATGAGGGCTCAGTACTAATGCAACCCTTAGTGATACCCAACCCTACTCTCCAAGACTTTACTCAATTGGTAGCCATTGTGGGCACAGTTTATCACAATTACGATATCAAACGTATCGTAGATTTTTATACAAAATCTATTAACACAAACAATTCCGATGCTATCCTATGGGCTGAATATAACTTTTTTAGTGACGTAACGATGATATGCCCGACCTATAGGTTCGCCAAAGCTTACGGCCAGTTGTCGGGCACCGGGAGTGTGTACTTCTATGACCAGACATACGCCCGACAGTCGTATCTAAATGAGACACTCTATGGTGTGACACACTTTGCGGACATTGACTTTGTATTTGGTTTACCACTACTGAAGCCGTCAGTCACTGACACAGCAATCGATACGAGATTTAGTCTACAAGTGATGAAATGGTGGACAGATTTCGCTAAATATGGGTTAGATTTTTGTTAAAATTTCATTTGCATTAGTGTTATATTAATTGCAATTATTTGTCTAATAATAGGCGACCGGACCCCAAATGGCCTAAACTTATTGGCGATAAACCGGGTGTTAAACTAGTGTCAAAAGTGAAGGTTTTAAATCCATATAAGCTGTACTATTATTTTGAGGATCTGTTCGCTAAGACTTGCGATGGTTTGTGGAAAGATTTTTATGGCCAATGATTTGTTGCATTATTAATGGATTGTATAGTTAATTAAAAATGTTATTTTAAATACAGTGTAGTTTTCATTTCAAAAATTATTGTATAATTTAAATTTAATTACTAATTAATTGTACTGTATAATAATTTTATCATATATTGTTATGATAGTAAATTATAATTGTTGGACAAAATTGAATTTCCGTATTGTGTGTAACTTATATTACAATTACATGTAAATTGTTTTATTTCATAATAATTTAAGTAAATAAATTTTTTTATTTCAATAAGATTTGATTAAAATGTAAGTGTACGACGAATTAATATTTTTACAAAGATTTTATTAAAAATATAAATACAAAAATGTGTTATGATAAAATTATGTTTTAATGATTACGCTTGACATGTGTATACAATTCCTTTTTCGTAACAAACCGTTGATTACAGTTATTATGAATACATTTATGGCTTTTTATATTCAGATGTCTTCTCATGTGTTCATTGAGATATGATTTTGATAAAAAACTTTTATTACAATTATTGAAATAACAAAC